GCTTTGCTTTGCTTTGCTTTGCTTTGCTTTGCTTTGCTTTGCTTTGCTTTGCTTTGCTTTGCTTTGCTTTGCTTTGCTTTGCTTTGCTTTGCTTTGCTTTGCTTTGCTTTGCTTTGCTTTGCTTTGCTTTGCTTTGCTTTGCTTTGCTTTGCTTTGCTTTGCTTTGCTTTGCTTTGCTTTGCTTTGCTTTGCTTTGCTTTGCTTTGCTTTGTTTTATTAAAAGAAGTTCGAGAAAAAGATTTTGCTAAGTTCGCGAATGCTTTGTATTTAATCGACTTTTAAATTTTTGCAAAAGAAAAACGCTTTCGAATCAAATAAAATTTATTAGCTTGCATTTAAATTAGCGACGACGACGAAGATTATACGAAAATTAATACTTTACTTTCGTCTTTTTTAATTAAAATAATGCTTACTAAATAAGAAGAGCTTAAGAAAGAGCTTGAAAAAGATGAGAAAGATTCGCCGTCGATTCGATTTATAATATCTTTTAATTCAATTTAAAAAAATGCGATAAAATAAAATTTTCGTAGCTTAATTGAGAATGAATAACATTATTAAATATAGACATATATATATATACATATTACTTATAATATCATAAGCAATATTATAAGCAATATAAGTGTCTACGTTCCTCGCCGTTTTTTGCGCTGAAGCGGGACTGACTTTTTTCGCGGGACTACTTTTTTCGCCCACTTTAGGGAATGTGTCACGGTACGAGAGCAAGGTCTTCGAATAAGGTCTAAATTGTGTACGAGGGATAGAAGAGATACTAAGGTACAAGAAGAGATACTACGTAAGTCCATTATGGAGGTTCGTGCGTTCCTCAGCCTTGGCATTCCTTGGCTGAATTGTTTGTTTCCTCCCCTTACAGAATGGCCCCAAAACCTGCGACGTCAAGGCCCACTATTATACAAATTCTACCTAATATATTAAAAGGGGGCTGTATATTTCGGAAGTTCAAGCTCCGAGACAATTGTAGCCAAGAATATTTACCGCGGGTAGCTCGGCAAATACTACTCTCCCCCCCCATGAATAAATGTCGGACCCAGTTTAGGCCCATAAATCATTGAGCGGTGGTTTCTTAATGGCTCAAAGCCCTGTCAACTCCACTGTATAGACTAAATACTGGTTCAAAGATACTTTCCATAGCTGAATCCTTATAAGTTGATTGGTTTAAGCCTTGGTAAGATCCTCTTGCGAAATTATACTTTCGACATTTATTCATGGGGGGGGAGAGTAAAAGGGTAATTACCAAAGTAAGCAATCAATCTATCCCCATCATTGCAATCTCTTGACTCGTAATGTACTGTGATGACCCGTAGGTCAATGACTCGTAGTTCAATGAGTAAGGAACCGACAGGCTCCATTTAATTTACTCGATAGCAAAAAGATTATTAAAAGCGCTACCGTTATAGCTAAAAGCTTATAACGAATGAAAAGACGATTATAGCAAATTGAAAGATGATAAGCTAATAATATCAATTACGAAGACGCAGTTTTTCGAAAGAAAAAAATGTCACGGTAATAGCAAAGCATAAATCACGAAAAAGTCACGAGGCTTAGCATACGTATGTAAATTATTCGTTACTATCCCCCCCATGAATATATATCGAAAGTATAATTTCGCAAGCGATCTTATCAAGGCTTAAACCAATTAACTTATACAGTAAGAATCCAGCCTTGAAAAGTATATTTAGATCAGTTTTTAGTCTATATAGTAAAGGTGACAGGGCTTTGGGCTATTCAGGAACCACCGCTCTACTATCCCCCCCCATGAATAAATGTCGAAAGTATATTTTTACTAGGGGTTTGGCAAGGGGTTTGCAGGGGAGCTGTGGGGGATTTGCAAGGGGGCTGTGGGGGGTTTGCAAGGAAGAGAGTGGCAGTGACTTAAGGAGGTCAGCCAATAGAATTAGCTAGAAACCCTTAGAATACGATCCGCAATTTTAAAAAACTGGCAGAATTCGTTGTACGTAGTACGTCGAGCAATTACGTTATCGCCGCTATCGCAACGATGAAAATTCAAGACCTTCTCAACTACGAACCTCAAAAGCTACCGCGCTACGAATATTACGATGAAGTACCTGATTCTCAAGCTTTAGAATCTTCCGCTTCAACGCTAGTTCCGAGTTCTCAAGCCTCTACGCAATCGTGGGACTCTCGAGACGGCCCTCGATCTACTACGCCAACGCCTTGCGATCAGCCTCGCTCTCCTTCAATTCAAATGCCTTCTACGCTAATTATACGAAAGCCTGTACCGTTAACGACTCGATCTGATCGTATTCGGATTAAAACAGCGCTATTTTTCGGAATTAAAGCGAAAGAGATACAAGAGAAATTAAAGTATACGGAAAGACAAATCCGTTTTGCTAAAAATTCTCTAGCTACCCCTCAAGTTCATCGACGCGGACGTAATCCTGCTCTCGACACGCCAAAACAACAACGCCTTAAAGAATGGCTTCTCGAATCTCCTTCACGCCGTCGAATTGCCTGGCGCCATATACCTTATCACGAATCTTTTCTTACCGAGCTTCGCGGATACGGTGAATCAGCTATAAAAACGGGTTTAAAACGCGCAGGGTATGTTCGACGAGCAGCGAAAAGAAAAGGATTTTCTAACGATCTTGAAGTTTAGGAAGAAAGGCTTAGATTCGCTCAAGAAGCGATTCAATGGTCTACTGAAAGAGTTGCTCAACAAGCCTTTTCAGACGAAATTTGAGCTTGCGGAGGAGCATTTTCACAATCGTATGTTACGTGCTTAAAAAACGGCGAAGATCAATTCAACCTTGAAAATTTGCAACACAAACACAGCAAACGTCCAGCTTAGATGTTCCACGGAACAATTTCTAAGTACGGTAAAGGGCCAGCACGATTTTAGGAAAAAGAATAAAGGAGCATGGATTCAGCTAAATACGACGCGATTATTCTTGAAGGTGTTCAGCAATGGCTCGATTTAAACCAATTATATTAGCAACAAGACGGAGCCAGTTGCCACCGATCAAGACTTACTCAAGCGAATCTTCGACGTCGAGGTTTTAAAACTATTAAGCATCCTCGATACTCTCCCGATCTTAATTTAATCGAGCACGTTTGGGCTTGGATGAAAAGATAGATTCAAAAGCATTATTATCAAGCTTATTACGACGCAGCTTCAATATCTTTCGATCGACTTCGAATAATTATTTAGGACGCTTGGAATGCAGTTCCTCAAGAATTCATTATTTCATTATATAATTCGTAGTGGAAACGATGTCAAGCAGTAATTGATGCACAAGGAAGGCCTACAAAATATTAAGAAATCAATATATACGTCATCTTGCTACATTTAGTAAGCGGTGAACTTCACGGTTTAAATATACTTTTGCTAAGTGGGTCCGACATTTATTCATGGGGGGGGATAGTATCATTTATAGGCCTAAACTGGGTCCGACATGTATTCATAAGGGGGATAGTACTACTACTTCATAACTTTTATTCCCGTCTTGGCACGACGGCTTATAAGATTTACCTTTCATATCTAGTTTCTTTTTCTTCTTCATCTTTCTTTTTTAATATTAAGCGTACTCTTAAGTAGCAATACAATACTGCCATCCATAGCCGTAATACATGCGATCTGCTTGCAAAGCTATAAGTTGCTTTCGTCGTTGCAATGCTTTCGTATTAACTTCGATAGTGCTGGTCGTGACGTAGTTAATACAGTATAGATGCTTCCTTTTATGAACTCTCTGATTCCGCTCGCAGTAGCTGAGCGGGGCTCGGGAACAATAAGCTTTTGATATCCAGCTCATGATTTTTCATTTGCCGATGGCCAAAGATTTACTTCGAATAAGATATGCTACTAAGGATATATATTTGACCCACTTAATAAAAGTATATTTTACAGGCAGAGTTCACCGCTTATTAAATGTAGCAAAATGACGCATAGGTAGTACATTGATTTCTTAATACTTTGTAAGCCCTCTTTATGCGTCAATTGTTGCTTAATATCGATCTTAATAAGAATTACCTAATGAAACGATGAATCCTCGAAGAACTGCTTCTTGAGCGTCTTTAATAATTGTTCGAAGCCGATCGAAAGATATCGAAGCTGCGTCGTAGTAAGCTTAATAATATGTGCTCGATTAAGTTAAGGTCGAGAAAGTATCGAAGATGCTTACCCTCCCCCTATCCCCATACGTACTCTCCCCCCCCCATGAATAAATGTCGAAAGTATAATTTCGCAAGGGATCTTACCAGGGCTTAAACCAATCAACTTATAAGAATCCAGCCTTGAAAAGTATATTTGAGTCAGTTTTTAGTCTGTGCAATAAAGTTGACAAGGCTTTGAGCCATTCAGAAACCACCGCTCTATAATTTATGGGCCTAAACTGGATCTGACATGTACTACTATTTAGTAGTATAAGGAGAGAGAATACTATTGTCCTCCCTGAATGAAAGACCGACCCACTTGGTAAAAGCATATTTTAATCGTTATGCTGACCGCTTGTTAAATGTAGCAAAATAACGTCTATATTGATTTTCTAGTGTTTTATAAGTCTTCCATATGCATCAATTATTGCTTGATATCGATTTTACTACTATTCATATGAAGAAATAATGAATCCTTGAGGAACTGCTTCCTAAGCGTCAGGGTTACAACGCTCTGGCCAATCCTTAGTAAGAATATACTTTTCGTCTTTTATTCAAGGGGATAGTACGTAGTACTAGTACGTCGTACAAAGAATTCTGCCTTGGGTCACTGCCACTCTCTCCCTTGTAAACCCCCCACAACCCCCTTGCAAACCTCCTGCGTAACTCCTAGTAAAAGTATACTTTCGATATGTATTCATGGGGAAGGAGAGTATAGCGAAGGCGAGGACCCCTTTTGCTAAGCCTCTTCCGAAGTATGATACGCAAGTAAACGTTCCCCTAAAAACTCCTTTTGGCCTTCCACTTGTTCATCTGCATCCTTTCTCGTGCTTTAGCTGCTACACATCATCGTTATGAAGGCCTCACTTATTAATGCTCTTTGCATGGCCACCCTGGCTGCCGCAGCTTGTTCTAGCAACGCAGAGGTATTTGCCAGCTCGAAAACATGCGTGAGCCTACAAATCCTAACCCATCTAATGTAGATCATTGCTGACACCGATCAAGTGTAACGCCCTAAGGGAGGAAGGCAGTCCGTCAAACACATTTTACCCAGACCAGCCGGGCTACAATGCGTCCATGGAAGGGTTCTGGTCGCTCCAGACAACCTTTGACACCCCCTCGTGCATCGTCAAGCCGAGGTCTTCGCAGGAAGTCGCGACCACGGTGCAGCTATTTGCCAGGCTCTCTTGCAAGTTTTCGATCAAAGGAGGGGGCCACACGCCATGGGCGGGAGCCGCGTCCATCAGCGACGGGGTGACTATCGACATGACCGACATGAGTGATGTAGCGCTTAATGCTAACAAAACTGTTGCTCGAATCGGCGCCGGCGCCCGCTTCGGCAAAGTCTACCGGGCCCTCGAGGAACAGGGCATGATGGTCGCAGCAGGACGTGATGCAAATGTTGGGTTTGGAGGCCTCGTCCTTGGTGGCGGATTCTCCTGGTTCACCTCGACCATGGGGCTCGTGGCAGACGGACTAGTGAACATCGAGCTCGTCACTGGAGACGGGAAGATCATCAACGCCAACGCCTCCTCCAATGCAGACCTGTTCCAAGGACTGAAGGGCGGCGGGAACAACTTTGGTGTTGTGACTCGCTACGACTTGAAGGCCTTTGAATTCTCCGAGATGTGGGGTGGCCTCAGAATCTACCCAAACACCACGCAAGACCAGCAGATTGACGCCTTTGTCAACTTCACAAACAATCTCCAGACCGATACGAATGCCAACATAATCAACTTCTCCGCGTACAGCGCTGCCTCCGGACTCCACCTCAACTGGAACTTCATGCACTACACGAAGCCCATAGTGGACCCCCCTATCTACGCCGAGTTCGATAGGATTCCGGGTAAGCTCACCGATTCGACCCGGATTGCCACAGTTTCCAATCTCACCGCGGAGCTGGGCACCAGTGAGCAAAGAGCCAGGTAAGCTTTCAAAGCCCGAGAAGATGACAGGATGTTTCTCACACCATAAGGAACCTCTTTCTGACCCTCAGCTTCGCCAACGATGCGGCGATGTACAAGTCGGCAGTTGACATTTCCAACTCTTACCTGAACGATTTCTTGGACACGCCTGGCCTTCTCGTACGTGCCAATAGTCTTTTCGTCGATATCTCAAGATCTGGTTCTCGACCCACGTCTTCGGAGCTGAGACGTCAATTCTCTTAAAATTTCGCAAACACTTGCAACGTGCACGGCTGACTCTGGTACAGTGGGTTCAGCTCTTCCAGCCTATAAACACGATCATCAGCAAAGCCTCTGTCGCTAATGGTGGTAACATTATGGGAGTCGATCGCAACAAGGACAACATCATCAGTATAGATCCCCCCTTCAGTCACTCACTCCCCTCCTCTAACCTTCCTCCCCCACCCACATTCTCACCACCTTCTAACACGCAGCCTAGTGTACCAGCTCTTCTTAACCTGGGACAACGACAGCGATGACGAAGACCTCATCAACGCCGCGTACGCCAGCATCGAGGCGATCAAAGCCAAGACCGTCGCCACCGGCACCGACAACCCCTTCATCTATCTCAACTACGCCGGCAAGTTCCAGGACCCGCTCGGCGGCTATGGCAAGGCCAACGTCGCGAAGCTCGCCCAGTTGTCCGCCAAGTACGACCCGAATGGCGTCTTCCAGAGGCTGGTGCCGGGCGGGTTCAAAATCGCCAATGCGAATCCTACCACGCCGTAGCGAGCGAGAGGCGGTTCTAAATGGTGCAGGAACCCTCTTGAACAACAGAGGAAGTAATTTCATCTTCTTTGACTAGTAGTGAAAGTCAACGCCTCTGCTAATCCTCCCAGATAGTTAAATACTATCAGGGCCAATGATTTCTCAATGTTCCCAGGGGGAACACTTATCAATATAAACAATTCATATTATATCTCTAAGATATTAAAAATTGAATGATCGCTAGAGAAACAAATCTGCCGCTTTCCCGTCCTCTACTAGTAGGCAGTGCAATTACACCATTGTGGCGGTCATATCGGGATATCGATCCGGCCGGGGCAGTATTGAAATCTTGCCTCACGTAAGGTAAATAAGTATCGGTGGAACCCTTTCTTTCTTTCTTTCTTTCTTTCTTTTCATTTCCCACGATCCACGACGCGCGAGATCTTTGGCATTGATGCAGGTTTTTCCAAGAAGGACTAGAGATAGGGAACGATTCATTTGAGATGTGTCTAAGTGTATAAGTATATTAGTGCGCCGAGGAAGAGGGATTTGCGGTGCTAGATGGCTTTGATAGTTGACTTGATGAAGATGGACTTGCAATTGGGAGAGGTCTGGCGAAGACTCTGACGCTGTCATATTAGTGAAATTGGTGATTAAATTAATTGTTAAAGTCCAGATGTTTTAGTTGCTTTTGATATCGGAGGCAGCCGTAGATGGTGTGCTTAGGTTTGTTTGAACGTTGTTGTCGTTGTTATTGTTATTAATGTTGTTGTTGTTGTTTTTCATGTTGTTTTTGTTTTTGTTTGTTTTTGTCATTGTTATTATTGTTGTTATTATTGTTTTTGTTGTTATCATTGGAATCCCGGCTTCGCTTATGGCCAGGCGCGTAGCGCTAATTGTTGGAATATTGGGTTCTACCTGTATTCTCGGTATGGACTAGCCTCTTGGCTGTCCTCTTGGCTACTCCTTTGTATACCGGTATAGGTAGCTCTCAGACCCTCATACCTAATCTACTGATAGTGGGCCTTAACGTCGCAACTTTTGGGGCCCTTCCCAAAAGTGGGCGAAAAAAGTATGTCCCGCGAAAAAAGTCTGTCCCGCTTCAGCGCAAAAAACGGCGAGGAACGTAGACACTTATATTGCTTATAATATTGCTTATAATATTACAATTAATATATATATTTAATAATATTATTCATTCTTACCTAATTAAGCTACGAAAATTTTATTTTATCGCGTGTCTTTTAAATTGAATTAAGAGATGTTATAAATCGAATCGACGGCGAATCTTTTTATTTTATTTTTTTTATGAATCTTCTTCAAGCTCTTTCTCAAGCTTTTTTTATTTAATAAGCATTATTTTTATTAAAAAAGACGAAAATAAATTTTTATTTTCTTATAATCTTCGTCGTCGTCGCTGATTTGAATGCAAGCTAATAGAACTTCATTTAATTTGAAAGCCTTTTTTTTTTTTGGCAAATATGTAGAAGTCGATTGAATACAAAGCGTCCGCGAAGTTAATAAGATCTCTTTCTCGAATTTTTTTTTAATAAAGCAAAGCAAAGCAAAGCAGAGCAGAGCAAAGCAGAGCAAAGCAAAGCAGAGCAAAGCAGAGCAAAGCAAAGTAGAGCAGAGCAGAGCAAGTTAAAGCAAAGCAAAGCAAAGCAAAGTAAAGCAGCGCAAAGAAAAGTGATTACAAGATGTAAAATTATTCTTTAATCATCATCGTCGGTTTCCTTAAATTTAATTCGAAAGATTAACCGACTTGCTGTAGCAAGTCGGCCCCACCAAGGCGGGGAACAATAACGGTGTACTACTCATTAAACAACAATTATTGATATAAATAAGAAATAATAAAAAAATTTATATGCTTAAAAAAGTTTTGCTTCACAAACGTAAATCGAAAATATAAATATGCATTTATTTTTAGTGATCTAGTACATTAAAATGTAAGGAAACAAGGCATATTGCATATTGCATCAAATGTGATTACTTGTTGTAAACGATCCAACTCAAAACCCTTCCGATCACTACCTCCTAATTCAGTAAAGCCAGTAGCCCAGCTCCAGCTCTTATTTTTTTTTTTTTTTCGTTTTTTTTTTTCCTTCCCCTTCCCGATGCCTGGTTTCTGTACAGCCTAACACCTTTATTGATCACTTCCATCTTGCTTCTTCCCCTTTCTCTACCATACTCTGCTTACATTACCATCTTCGAAATCCAAGATCGTCATCCCATTAATAAATTCTCCGTCTTGGGAATCGGGTTCGTGAGAGATCATGCACAAGCGGCTTCCATACGACACGTCAGCAAAACAGGAAGAAGCTCAAGACCGAGGAATCCCTCGGAGAGCTCCCTTCTCGATCCCTGAGAGTTAGCCGGTCCACATCTAATTCTAAGCTCGGAATTAAGTGAGAGCTCGAATCTTCCATTGAAGTTCGGGTGGGAGGGGGGTTGAACCCCAGCCGTCTCTTTCAACAACTCAAACTCGAGAAACGAAATTCGGAATTCGAGCTTGAATCGTAACACGGACTATACAGCTTGAGCTTTGGGAGTTTGAGTTTCCGTGAGTTTTGATACACTGGAATATCCAAGCGACGGGGCTATTCTAGATCGATTCCTCTCGGCTGGATTCTCCAAGGCCCGCTACGCCAGAGAGACAGTACCATGTATATGTCGGTGTATTCATTGACTTCCAGATTAAGACGCCAGCGCATTTCAGGTTCTGCTCGGCTTTGTTGGAGATCAACCGAAGCTGAAAGAAAGTCTCATGTGGATTCCTCTGGGGCAGGCAAGCATGAACCAAGAGTTGTCGGTAGCCGCGGATTTTCTCCCGAAAGCCCGGCTGTGCAGCTGTGCAGGTATTAAGTGCAAGTTGCAAGGCACATTGACGATTACGCCTCCTTGACAAGAAGCTCTTTGAGGTGGCAAACGGTCTTCATGAAAGTATAAAATCTGCCCGCTCCCCATCCTCTCTTCCTCCCGTACCAACTTGCAGATCAAGCAGTTCAAGTTACTATTTACACACGAGCTCTTCACTCACTCCCTTCCAGCGAAAAATTATCGGCAGCTTTGTCGGAATGCGATTAAGTGGTGAGGGCAAGTACAAGGACTTAGCCTCAGGCGGCCGCATTAGCTTCGCGTAGGTCATGGGGACACGTGACCGGAGAGGCTGCGCGGCTTCCGTAAAAGGAGCTACAAGCGAGAACCTCCAAAGTAATCAAGTCGATTATCAACACAACCAGAACATCAAGTGTAGACCGACCCAACACCTGTGTGTTACCAACAAGCTTCTTTCCCCGAAAGACACCGCAGAAGCCGTCATCATGTCGACAGCGAACAATCCCACCGAAGCCACCAACCCGGAGGAGGTTGACACTAATGTCGTTTCGGAGTACGTGGAGCTGCTTGGAAACACTTCTTCGTTGGAGGACCTACAAACCGACGAGCAGAGGAGAGTTCTTGATATGGTCAGTAATCATTTTCCCCTTATCGGGATTTGGTCTCTAAAATGGGTTGCTAATGAACCGAACCTTGAACAGGTTGTGCAAGTCCGAAAGTGCGGACTGGACGACAACCTTTCACTCCCTCAGCTTGTTGTCTGCGGAGACCAGTCCTCGGGCAAGAGTTCGGTTTTGGAAGCCCTCACCGAGATCCCATTCCCCCGAAACGACAACCTGTGCACCCGATTCGCGACGGAAATCAGCCTTCGGCGTGCCAACACGGAGTCTCTGACCATCAAGGTCAACCCGGCCAGCACTCGATCGGCTGCCGAGCAGGAGAGTATTAAGAAGTTCACCGAGGTCATCACCAACTTCAGCGAGCTTCCACGAATCGTTGAGCTGGCAATGGGCGTTATGGGCATCTCCAAGGGAACCGAACCTGACTCCAAGCCCCGAGCTTTCTCTCGAGACGTTCTCAGCATCGAGATTAGCGGACCCAGACGCCCACAACTTACACTGGTCGACATCCCGGGCCTGATTGCAACTTCGACCAAGGGAACGACAAAGGCCGATGTCGACATGGTAACGGAGATCACCGAGTTTTACATTTCACAGAAGCGAACCATCTGCCTTGCTGTGGTCTCGGCCACCAACGACTATGCGAATCAGAAGATCCTCGACAAGGTCAGAGACGTCGATCCCAAGGGTGATCGTACTCTTGGCATCATCACCAAGCCTGACGGACTGGCTCCAGGCTCGGGGGCGGAACGTGGCTACATCGATCTCGCCATGAACGAAGACATCGAGCTGAACCTCGGATGGCACGTTCTCAAGAACAGAAAGTTTGAGGAGACCGACTTCACCATCGCCGAGCGAAACGTCGCCGAGGCTGCCTTCTTCCGCAAGTCCAACTTCAAGAAGCTGCCTCCCGATACTGTCGGCATCGAATCGCTCAGACGTCGATTAAGCTTGCTCTTGTTCGAGCACACCAAGAGGGAGCTTCCGCAGCTTCGTCAGGACCTGGAAGATCAACTCGAGAGCTCCCGGATGTCGCTCGTGAAGATGGGTACGCGCCGATCGACAGCCGTCGAGTGCAAGGCATACCTGTCCCAGACAAGTTTGGACTTCTACCAGACGTGCAAGGCTGCTGTGGATGGACACTACGAGGGTGCCTACTTCCAGAAAAATATCGATCTCACCTTCTCCCCAAGCTCCCCGTCCACAGTAGCACGGACCAGAGCTGTGATTCAATCTCTGAACATGGAGTTTGCAGACACGATGCGTCTCCAGGGCCACAAGTACCAAGTTGATATGGATACAAGACGTTCGGATTCGTCTGATAACGGGTCTAATGATGGGTCTGATGGGTCTGATGCGTCTGATGATGATAATGCTGATAACGATAATGAGGATGAGGATCACAGTGCCATGGGTTGGGCAGTCAAACCAGACCAGGCTGGCCCCAAGCCATTGACAAAGGATGAAGCCCTACAGTGGGTCAGCAAGGCACTGACGCGAACCCGCGGGAAGGAGCTCGTCGGCAGCTACAACCCCCTCCTCATCGGCGAGCTATTCTGGGACCAGTGCTCCGGCTGGGAGAAGCTCGCCCTCTCCCACGTCGACGCCGTAGCCAAGATCTGCCGCAGCTTTCTCAAACAGCTGCTGCGCGACAACTACCCCCCGGACGTCGAGGCTCGGATCTGGGCCTTCAAGATCGAGGAGCAACTGCGCGTTCGGTATCACAACGCTGTCGAGGAGCTGAAGAAGCTGACGCATGACCTCCGAAGCTACCCGATCAACTACAACCATTACTACACGGATACCATCGCCAAGCGACGCCAGCAGCGACAGAAGGCTGCCCTCAAGAAAGCCATGGAAGAGGGGACCGCTGCAGCGTGGAATTCAGATGGCCTCGACCTCGATGTCTCGCGGGTCGTTCGCAGTTTCGCCGACCAGATCAACCCGAACATGGACAGCTTCAGTTGCGAAGAGGCCTTGGATTCCCTCTTTGCCATCTACAAGGTAAGTCCCATCATCTAAAAAAGAAGAAGAATAATAATAATAATAATAAATAAAAAAAAACCCCTCTTCCGCCCACCAGCACTCCATTGCCCACGGCCTCTTCCAGACTAACGGAACCTCCCCGTCTAGGTGACGCAAAAGACCTTCGTCGCCAACGTCACGACCCAGGTCGTGGAGCGCCACGTCGTCACGGGCCTCGAGAAGATCTTTTCCCCCGTCGTCGTCAACGGCCTCGAGGCGGCGCAAGCCGAGGCGCTGGCGGGCGAGCCCGCGGCCGACCGGCTGCATCGGGAGCGCCTCGAGGCGCAGATTGCGAAGCTGGAGGAGGGCCACGAGATCTTTGAGTATGTCATGTGAGGATGAATAAACGAGGGATGAATCAACGAGGGATGAACAAAGAATGAGAAGCAAACAGATAAAGAATCAAAAAGAAATCGCCAACTCCTCGGGGTGGTAGGTAGTAGTACCGGTAGTAGTAAATAATAATAATAATAATAATAAACAACAACATCGACCCTCCTTCTAATCAAAAATTCCCCCTCCTTCCCCCCAATCTAAAAACCGGCCATCCTACTTACTCCCTATAAAAAAGGATTAACAAGTACCTACCTACCTACCTATCCCATCCCAACCCAACCTGCAAACCTCACTTGAACCCCTCTTGCCTCTCCCTCTCCCCCTCTCCATCCTTCTCGTCCTCTCTCTCCTCTCAATCATTTTCATTTTCATTCTCATTTTATTCATGTATTCATTTATATTCATTTATATTCATTTATATTCATTTATATTCATTTATATTCATTTATATTCATTTATATTCATTTATATTCATTTATATTCATTGATATTCATTTATATTCATTTATATTCATTTGTATTCATTTGTATTCATTTATATTCATTTATATATATTTTTCCTGCAAATAAGACCTCTCCCTCTCCCTCTCCCTCTCCGTGGCCTATATACAAATGAAAAGAAAGATAAAAAGATAAAAAGAAAGAAAGAAAAAAAAAAAAAAAAGAAAAAAAACCCGCTCAAGTCCGCCTTCAAAGTCTTGCAACTCCCATAATAGCCTTCTACCTATTAACACCTGCACTCTATCGCTCCATCTCTTTTCCAACAAACCTCCGGTGCCCTTCCTCTTGCTCCGCTTCCCACATGTACATGTATTTGTGTATATCGTGCTCAAACGACGTCGTGAAACCCCCGGATCAAACATTCTGGACAAATATATACATGCGTCCCATGTCCGTCCGTCTCGTCAAGTTCAGGATACTCCAGAGCACCACCCCAATCCAATTCAATCCAAGCAGCGGAATGAATGCTAGCAAGCAAGTCCCCAAAACACCGCAAATCATAAAGCTCTCTCTCCCTCCCTCTCCGCCCTGGTTTTCATTCCGAGGGCTTGCAAGCTCACCCCTCAGCCCAGCCAGCTCCTCTTCTTCCCTTCCTTCAGACTATCTACAATCCTGCACTCCCCATGACTCTGACACACCTTGCTCCTGCCCAGGTTCTTCCACCGCGGGCCCAGCGGCCCGTTGACGTAATGGTACTGCCCCACAAAGCGCCACTGTCTCCAGTCTCCCAGACTGTAGAACTTGTCGCCCCAGTGGCCGCTAAACCACCACCAGCCTATCGGCGCCTCGGGATTGTTGAGAGCCGGCTGCAGGCTCTCTGTCATGTGTTGCAGAGGGAGGTTCGTGGTCATGGAGCGGGCGTCGGCCCCGTGCGTAATGGACGTGTTGAAGTGGTATGCCAGATAGTTCTGCGCGGGGTCCCAGAGAGGCCCGCGGTCGGTCACGTCGGCGAGAAGGCCGAAAGGGAGGACATAGGGGTGCGAGCCGGGCTGCGCGTACATGGCATGGCTACCCAGCGCGGAATAGATGACCGGGCGGCCCTCCCTGCCTTTCCCCTTCCCTTTTTCAACCGCCGCGTACGAGTAAGCGAGACCGCCGGAATGGGCCGAGAAGAACACAGCCTTCGGAACGCCATTGTGGAAGCGGATGAGTGAGTGTTCCCAGTCGCCGACGTGGTTCCCGAAGCGGACATTGAGAACCGTGGTGCCCAGGTTGTAGGAGTAGAAGTAGAACCAGTAGGCGTCGAGGATGCCGGAGCCTTTGTCGACCAGCACCAGAATGGCAGGGGCCGGCGAGTACCCGCCAGGCTTCTGGAGCGCGGGGATGCGTTTCCTCAGGTCTTCGCGGAAAGATGCCTTGGAAGTTGAGTCTTTTTTTATTTGAGGTGGAGGTTGGGATTGGAAATTTGGAGCGATGGGCGCCGAGACTTTGTGCCTGGGACCGTACGGATCGAACCACGTCTCGAGGTCTTCTTCCGTTGGGACAGCGCCGGACGAGAACTCCTCATATACCATCGCTTCCTCCTCCAGCTCTCGTTCCTCCGTGTCCTCTTCATCCTCGTCATCGTCGTCGTACGGAATAGGCTTGTTAAACGCACTACTCAACCACTCCGGCCTCTCCTCCACATCATTCTTGCTGGTCAAGAACACAAAGCGCCCCCTCCTCCCCTCATTCAAACTCAGCAAGTTTTCCTCGTCGGGCACATAGTCCGTCAGATTCAGCGCCGTCTGGTTCTCGTACGGCACGACATGTCTCAAATGCTCGCGGATATCGCTTGGCCAGAACTCCTCCCTGGAGCACAAATGAACCAGCGGCGCATGGTCGAGCACAAACTGCGGCACCTCCTTGAGCACCCTGGTATCGCCGTCCCAGTCCCCCGGCTTCATGCGCTCCCCCTGCCCCGGGATCCGATCCCACACCGACTGGGCGTCGATATCACCCCCCTCGTCTTCCTCCGCCGGCTCCTGATCGGCCGTCTCCTGCTCCATGAGAAGCTCCTGCGCATTCTTCATCCTCATCTCGCGGCGGTTGTCATCCCGTCGTTTCGTCCACGGCCGCACAGCCGGATCCGGATGCCAGTGGGCCAATCCGCACAGGCCGATGTACCGACATGCCTGCCGGTCCAGCCAGTATTTCGAGGTGGAGATCCAGGCCTTGTCCTCGCGCTGCTCGTCGGCCTTGTGTTCGTTAGGGTCGAGGTGGTCTTTGAGCGCCGAGAGGCCGAATGCGGTGGCCACGATCAGGAGGATTGTGATGCCTCCGCGCACGAGGAGTTTCATTCCGGGGAACTTTGCGGCACGAGGAGTTGTGGTACAGCGTCGAGGTTGGTTGATATGAGTGAGGGTATGGTCGTGTTGTATAAGGGGTGATGGGGGGGGTTTAGCATGCTTTTGCTCGTCAATGCCCGGCAAAGAGAGGCGGGGCGGGGGATGATGCAATGCAGCGACGAATCGTAGTATGGTAGTTTGGTAGTATGGTAGTATGGTAGTATCGGTCCAGCGAAGGTAGTGTCAACACAGTCGAGGCGAACGGATGTACAGACCAGGCCGCGAGTGAGGTCCGACCCAGCAACGGCAGGGTGGAGAGAGAGATGAATGTATATATGGATGTATACAGATGGCAGTGCGCGGTCGGTGGTGCAATCCGGGTCCTGGGTGGTGGGTTGGTGGGTGGTGGGTGGTGGGTCGAGGTCCTGCTCTCGGGCCCGAAAGATCCGACGCTCGTCCGGTTCGAGGTTAGTGAAACCCGACGGCCCCGCCGCTTTGGCAGTCAGCCTTGGAGCGATACGCTGGCTGGCCTTGTCAATTTGTCATCATGGGGCTGGGAATGCAAAAATACTACTGTACTACTGTACGTCCCAGGCGGAAGTATTACCCCTTGAGGGTAGGGTAACCAGGGGGTTTAAAGTGGAAACTAAACTTTTGAAGCACCCTCGAGGGGTAATACTTACTACGTCGCAGGCGTAAGTATTACCCCTCGAGGGTAGGGAAAACAGGGGGTTTAAAGTGGAAACTAAACTTTTAAGGCACCCTCGAGGGGTAATACTTAGGCCTGTACCGTGGTAGTTTGGCCTGTACCGTGGTACTACAGTACTGTACTACTACTAAATACGTATCTGTACCTATCAGCTGACTAACTGGATGGGTCTTCCCGCTCCCGAAAGCCAATCGAGGAAACCACCACTACAGTACCACCACACCCCATCTAATCGTCGGCTCGCTTAGGTGGGCCTCCTTTCAGCCTTTCAGTCTTAGTCGGTATAAGCGACTGCGGATCGGAAGCGAGTGCGGATTTTTCGAAAATATATTAGAAATTTTTATTTATTATAGCAAATACTATTACAACTCAAAAATATTTACATAAATAACTAATCTACTACTACATCTTCTTCCGAAACATTTAAAATCGTATCATCTGATGAAATATCTGACTATCGATCGTTATTTTCATCAGATTCTGACTCGTCTTTTACCTTACGCAACGAATCGTTTGAATCTCTATTACTATCAGAATTGAAGCCATCGCTATCGATATTAATACTAAGAAAAGGAATAACATCTTGCTTTAAAGAGGGGTCTTTAACAGTGTCGGTTGTAATTATTAAATCGTCGTTATCGAGAGAAAGTTCGGGTTGAGAAAGAGTTGGTCGAGGAATACCTTTTTTACGAGGCCGCAAAATTTGACGCTCAAAAGGTTGTTGCATCTATCAAATCTCTACTTTGTAAACCAACTCTAGCTTTGCGGCTTCGCATATTCGTCGTATATCTTGCGTAAAGCGAATATAACGTTGTAAATCAATTGCGGTGTAGGAGTAAGCTAATTAGTAAGAAGTTGAAGAATGAATTAGCGTAACGCGTTGACATGCCAGCTTTGCAAGATCTTGTTTTGACCGCCGTGCTTGCGATTCTTCGGTCGCTTAAAGTAACTATTTAACGTGCGCTCATTGAGATCGTAAATACGCGCGGCAGTTTTTTAAGTCTCGTAAGGGTATTCGGACAAGAATGTTGTAGCGCGTCGAAGACGCGTCGCAAGATCTTCAATTGCATTAGGACTACTTGGTTAAGCGTGGCTTTTGTATTGAAAAATCCTTAGAGGCTTCTTCGAACGAGTGCGTTTTCGACCTATGATTAATTGTAAAATACAATTAAATTGGTTGTGCGGTTGTAGATTAAAAAGTAGTGTTGTAAATTGTATTTTGTATACGAAAACTAATAGTAAAAAAAAAAATCCGCACTCGCTTCCGATCCGCAGTCGCTTATACCGACTAAGACTGAAAGGCTGAAAGGAGGCCCACCTAAGCGAGCCGACGATTAGCCAACTGATGCGTGACCCGTATGAGAATCACGTGATCTACCTCAAAAAAGACACCACCGATCTCTGTCCCCCCCAATAACATCCCGACTATAAATATCCGCATCCTACAACCCATATATATCCATCCGAACCTATTATTACACACGCACTCATTTCTCCATCTAGGGTTACACCTTCATCCATCCATCTACTCTTCCCAAGTTCTTGAAAATAGAAAATCCTTCTCCTACTTTAGTTGCATAAGGTAAGGTATGTATGTAAGTTGCATGAGGCATGTAAGTTGCATAAGGTATGTACTTTGTAAATAAAACAAAATACCTCCCACCCACTGCTTCGAATCATGCGTCTTTCCTTCCCCTTCCCCTTCCTTTGATATACAGCTAGCTAGCTCTCTATCCTCTCCCACTAGGGAACTCCCGGATCAAGAATCAATTTAAAAAAAAAGAATCTAAAAAAAACCCAAGAAAACATAGATAGAAAGTGGAATTACTTCATTGATCGTTATTACAATCATCATTCTTGTTATTATTATTATTATTATTATTATCATTTACTATTATTATCATGATCATCACATTCCCCACCGTGCCAGCGCAGGAGAGATAAAGAAGGGGTTACCATTCCCCTTCCTTTCCTTCAGCCTCGCTCGCTATATAACAATCAACGAGGACTATGTGCTATAGATCTAGCCAGTCGTCCCAAACTGGCAGAGGTGTGCATAGTAGCGGGTGATGGCCTTTTTTATTTCTTTCTTCCAGGCGGAGGATATCCTCGGTACGTCGGTACGCAAGAGTTGATGGGATGGATGTTGACGACAGATGTAGCGAAGTGCTTTTTACTGAACGGCGATATACCTAGCTGGTGCTCGCTCGTCGGCTGGTCGAGCCGGAACGGAACGGACGTAGTCCACAACGCCGTGTGTCCACTGCGCGATAGCGTTTGGCGTAGGGCGTATTTCGCTGCATGGTTGTATCTGATGGTCCATCTGATGTTGTGTTGGAGAATTCAAGCACACCACAATGAGCGCGCTAGCCAGTGACACCGGGTGGAAGGCACGATTCGTGGTAGGCACGGCGCGGTAGCAACCACTTCCCGTCGAGTTGCTCATATCGGAGCGAGCGAGGAATATCAGACCAGATGGATGGCTCCCTCCAGCCGACAGAACGGAGATGGAGGGGTGACAATTCCGGGTTCCGTTTTTGTGAGATCAGGGCCACCACGATCGAGAGAAGACGCACAGCCTACGGCCAGAGACCAAACTCGAATGGATCGACGTAAGGGTAATCCGCCCGCGTGCCCATGATGGTGCTGTACTCGTCCTGGAGGATATCCGAGCCCAGGTTCGCGTACTCGGGGTATTGGCTCAGCTCGTGGCGCCGCAGGGCCACGGTCCACGGGAAGCTGGAGTGCGCGACCCCCATGAACGCGCTCGCCTTGAACATGATCAGGAAGTCGACGAGCCCCTGCTGGTCGAAGCCCATCGCCTCGAGCCGATCCCGGTCGTGGCCCGTGAGGAGATCGTATTTGGTCACCACCGTGACGTTCCGCGGCGCGAGGGAGCCGTCTGGGGCCACTTTGGACTCCTCGGCGATGCGCTTGTCGAGATACTGAGCGAAGAGATCGACCACGGTCTGGTTCCCGCTCGCAACGTAGACGATGCGGAGATTGGTGCGCATGATGTTCTGGAACTGCTGCTCGAATTGGTCCTGCATTCGAGAGAAGCGCCAGTGCTCCGGGTCCCAGGCCCAGACGGCATCCCTCTCGAGCCGGAGGTGCGCACCATAGAAGGCATCCGGGTTGATGGCCTTGCGTGGGTCGATGGGCAGTGAAAATTGTTGCTTCAGTTGGTAAAGGACCCGGGCTGCCAGAGCCTGCGTGTCTCGTCGGAAGGAAAGGATTTTGCCAAATTCGGCGGCGAAGGCGGTGCTGTCGTGGTGCACAGGATACTCGATGTACGTCTGCTCGATCTTGACATGGACCGGGGCCTTCGAGCTGATCATGACTTGCTGCTGCTCGAGCCACGTATCAAAGAAGCGTCGCCACTTCTGGGGCTGCTGGAGACCGGTCCGGGGATGGTCTGGCTCGAATTGGTCTCCTCGCAGAGATAGAGGCTCTCCCGCTCGTTGGTTGTAGAACGGGAAGTCTTCGACGCGATGGTAAAGACGCATTCCAGGGCATGCTTTGGTCAGATGATCGATAAAGGCTTTGCGATCAAACATGTGCTCCAACGGCACCTCGTTGCTCGTCTCGATGTCGGAAATATTGCCCGGATTCCGCTTCGCCATAGAAGGGATGACAACCGCAGCACCTCCGTGAATCGCATACCTTATGCATTTCAGAATCTGATTGCGAACCATACCGACGCCACCATGCTGCTCCTCGCACGTAAACACCAATCCAGGCCGGAAATTCGATGGGTGCCGCGTGCACACTTCCCGAATGGGCTCGTAATCAATCGGAGCCGGGAATTCGACATTCATCGCCTGGTGCAGGAACCTGCTGTCGTCGCCGGCGAGAAGTTCCAGGCTGGGTTGCGGTTCGTAGAAGAGGCCTGGGCCCCGAATTTTGATGAGAGAGGCCCAAATGATGATCAGGGCTGCAGCCAGACCGACGGCGGTCGTCGCATCTTTCCTGGTCTCGAATAACATGATGCTTAGTTGCCAAACAACTTTTTGTTGTTCGCGGAGAGATATATAAAGCAAAGCTATCGGGAAATAACCATATCTTTGTTTCTTTGGTCCTGAAGGGTCGAGGGAGTTGTGTTTCCGGATGGTTTCAGAGTCAAGTCATTCTGTGAAACAGAAACACCAATACGGATTAGGGAAACCGCTACAAGTAGGAATTCGGTGTCCTAGCCCGTGCGTTGGAGTGAGTACCGAGATCTTTGCACCGTGGCAAAATTCTTCGGCAAAAGGTGTTTTCTTGCCAAGGATTTGTGACTCGCATGGTATCGCTCCCCCGTCAGCTCCGGTTCCATAGATTCCCATCAACCTCGCCTTGGAATTGGAGGCCGTTCATTTTCACATAGGTGTACCGACCAGTCGCCTCGGAACTTACAAGTGGCAAAATCGGTGGCCACTGGACCAAGTGTCGCAACTCATACACATCCCGGCCGGCTCCTCCTCGCCCAGCTCCAAAACCACAATGCGCTTCCACCAACTACGCACAAACTTGCGCCGGCGAGCCCTTTGAATTCTTCCGGCCGACTCCACACAACAGTAGCCGTCCAGTGCGCCAGATCAAAACACGAGCGAAGAGATTCGCCTGTGCCAGAGAAGGTCGAGCGCTGTGAGGCGGGCACTTCGCTTTGCTCGATTTCTTGCTCCATAAGTGAGTAGGTCCAGTGGAAGAGTCTCGATAGGGAGAGGAATCCGAAAAGGGTGAACATGGTTCGGATGCTAACTTGGGAAGCTGTTGAGGTGGTGCTGCTGCTTTCTGTTGGAGCACTTGGCGAGAGATTCCAAAGTACGAATACAACAGGTATCTATGTTGTTAGCCGGCATACGCGTGCTGGAGAACTGGCTTACCAGCGCAAGAAACTGCCCGGTGATGCCCCAAGAGCTCAGTTTTCGTGTAATGGTTCCGTTCGCAGAGCCAGCAGGTAGTCTGCCAGTCAAGTATCGGCCCACGACGGGAGTGGTGAAAGTTGCGACAAACCCCATCAAGCTCCCAGAAGTGCGAGCTAGAGTGACAACACTCAAAGGGACTCCTGAATGTAAGAGGTATGTGATGAGCGCTGCTGAGTAGACGAGGACCGTAAGGTAGAGGAAAGCCATAGTGATTGAGGCCGGCCAAACGGCGATCGAGAAGAAGTGTCGGAGGCGGAAAGCCGGTCCTTCATAGAGTAGTGAATGGGCCTTCGAAATGAGGGGAGCCTCATGGCCGTATACTTCTCCCTCGAGAGCACCATCCAATAGCAAGTCCTGATCTTTCGGCAACGTTAAGCGAGGATTCTCTCGCGAAACATGGCTTAGACAATACATCTCAGCGGTCCACACGACGACGGTAGACAGGGCGATGATACTTATCCAGGTACTTCTTGAGTAAGCATTCACGATAATTGGGAGGAGCGACGGCGATGCAATTTTGCAGAACAGGTTTACTCTTGCAATGACTGCGTTGACCTGGGTCAATGTGTGTGGCGATGTAGCATCAGTCAACACAGGGATACAGTCTCTGCTAAGTGAGAGGCTGTTGCCCGTTGCACTGAGGACTTGGAGGATATCCAGAACGAGAATGGCCACGAATAAAATGTTCCTGGCGAACGTTGAATCGTGGTCAGCAACAGCTGGCCACAGAATCCAAGCGACATAGGTGAGTACGATTGCGCCATGATTCACTATAATGCTTATGCGCAATGGCGTCGTTCTGTTATTAGACTTATCGATCCAAGAGCCTACTGAAGATGCAAAGAGAATAGATGAGAGTGTCGAGACGATGCCACTGCATCTGTAAGCACACGATATAATATGGATTAGGGGAGCTGGGTGGAGCGCACCGTATTGAAGCGGCCGTAAGACTATGGGGAAACGCTGAAGCTACCAGGACAATCTAATATATCTCAGTGGCTATCTACAGGCACGAGTGCGACCGATATTGATTGGACTTACCGACACGTATTCGAAGGTCCGTATATTCCACATGAACAAGAAATGCAGGCTGTAGATCTTCCACCACCGGGTCTCGCCCGCAACGACGGCGAACTCTCGCGCTGCTGTGTGGTCGCCGAGGAGCTCGTCGCCGGCAAGGAACGCGTCGAGCGACTCCCGACCACTATCCGTGCTCTCTCGATCAGGGGTCGGAAGAAGGGCGTCACGTCGATGCGTCGCGGCGTCTCCTCGAGCTGTTTCGACAACCGGTTCGGCCATCCTGCGCAATTCCAGTGTCGTATGTCGTATATCACGGTTGGGACCTTTTCGAGGCAGCCTTCAGAGACGGGTTTGGTTGGCCTTGGGTCGGCTGTGTCGTTTTATCAAGGTTGTGTGCCGTTCGGCGACGAGACACGACTGCGGCCACGGACGGGCCTCGCCCCACATTCTATTCCAAGAACCACCTCAAATGTGCTTCAGTCAACGCCGCCGTATCCAAAACCATGTCCAGCGAAAGGCTGGCAGCTTTATCATGTTCATAGCGATATCTATTCTGGTACGTTCCCGGAAGCCAGTTCAAGGCAGGTTTGGTTCATGAACGTGCACTTCATATTCACCTCTTTAGCTGATGCGCAGAATGTGTACCAAGAGGCTTGTGTGTGCGATGCCGGCTTGAGTGCAACAAACATGGATACACACACACACACACACACACACATAAAAATATATCTCTCCCGCTGAAGGTTATTCGAAGCCTATGGCTTCGGGAGCACATTATTCTAAAGGGCAATTGGGCGGCAAGGAGCAGATGATCTCTAGTCTTGATACTCGTTCCAGAGGGAGGACTCTGGTTTTGGCTTTAGGATACATCTGAATACTTGCCTGTGGTAGAAGGCATTATCAATTCTCGGCCGACGGCCTGGCCTGTTCAAACAAAACCAACATTCCAGAGTCACTTCCTCGTAGCTCGGCTACCTCTCTCGCTTAAACAAAGCTGATCATCTACAACAGGTACCTTCTTCTATCGGCAGTTCGATATCCTCATCAGTCATTTGCAATCGTTATTCATTATTTCAATATGATATGATATACCGGCATCTTACGTGCGACGTAGAGTTGGGAATCGCAGCCCGCCTCTCTCAAATATCTCTCTAGTGGTCATGGTGGCCCAAAGATCTCCGCTTCACGGCCTCGCGTCCAACCCAATCAGTCCCATTCGCTCTCAACGCCTCCGTCGCCGCCGCCAGGTTCAGGCGCAACTGCTTCTCCAGGTACAGCGGCAGCTGGGTGTTGTCCCAGTTGCCCGCCATGTTTTGGCGGAGGATCATTTGCCCCTGACCCTCGCTATGCCCGTACAGCGTGACATCGGCAGCCGAGTGGCCGTCGGTACTCCACTGGATGCCGGCTCTCGTACTCAGCATCTTGCCCAGCTCATTGTTGAACGTCTCCTCGCCCTTCAGCTGGGTCAGCGTCAGGATCTCGGCGTCCGTGGGGTCGCTGATGCCGTAGGCCGGGAAGATGTTGGTCCGGAGGAAGGAGGCCGGGTCCGAGCCGTTGTAGGCCGTGAACTCGCCGTTGAGGAACTCTGAGGTGGAGTTGGCTGCTTTCAGCACGAGTGGGTTGTAGCCCACGAGTGTGAGACCGCCGGTCTCGTGATCCGCGGCAGACATCAGCTGCGTATCGGGGCGGGCGTCGACCCATCTGCGCACGAATTCCATGACTTCGTTGTATTGGATCGTGTCGTGCAGATGGCCGACGGGATCGTTGTTGTGGCCGGCGTGGTCGATGCGCGAGGCTTCGATCATGATGAAGTAGCCTGGTGGGTGTTAACATCTTTCTCACATGCTGGGTGGGAACGGGAACGCGGTGACGGGAACAAACCTCGCGTGGAGTTCTTGGTGGCGTTCTCGAGCGAAGTCAGAGCGGTCTGCGTCATTTCCAAAAGTGAGGGCTCGAGGCTGTCTACGCGGTCGACTTCGTAGGCCATGTGATCTGCTCTCGTCAGTTTCCCTTCACAGATAAAAAAACAAAACACAGGAATGGAGAATTCCATACTCAGGGCAAAAAGACCAAGATATGGTAGCGTCGCCTCCTCACCACCCTGCAGGCTGTCAAACCCAGCTCGGTCTGTGAAGACATTGAACCCCTTCTCTTCAGCGAATTCGAGCAGGTTGATATCATCATCACGGCAGGAACCAGTAGAGTCCTTGGGCACGTAATAGCATCTCCCACCTCCGAGCAAGATATCGACCACAGAACCGAGGGGGTGGCTGTATCCTATCTGGTGCTCAGCAATCTTGGCCTCGAGGTCCCGATGCTCGACGTGAGCCGCGTAGCCTGCATTCGCATCAGTAAAGAATAGAGGATTTGTCTCTGCAAAAATGGTAAACCGTACATGCTGGAGTTGCGTGCGTGATTCTGGACGTAGCAACCAAGCCTGTCTTGAACCCATCGAGCTTTGCAGCTTCGAGGATAGAGCCCACAGGCTCCCTAGCAACGTCAACGCCAATCGCTAGACGCCTGTCAGCCTATGATCCAGCTTTCTTGGAGGATGCAGAGAGGAACGAACCGGCGTTGTAAGTCTTGATACCCGCCGAGAACGCTGTAGCACTTGCTGCAGAGTCGGTGATCAGGTCGTCACTTGCTTGCGTACGGACAGAGCCGAGGACCTGTGTAGTCCTTGTTAGCACGCGAGATCGTCTCCAGATCCCCATTATCTTCCTCTCCCTGCTTCGCAAAAAGGATGATGACGGCCGCACAGCTAGGGGAGAAGGGAGGGTACCATTTGATCAGCAGCGAGCTGAGAAGTCACAGGTCGCGTGATATCCTCCCCGTTTCTCAGCAGCGACACATAGTCCCTCGCCATAGTCTGGGACGCAACACCAAAGCCATCTGGGACGATGTAGATGAAGTTCCTTGCGAGTGCGTCCTGCCAGTCTCCTGGGCCTGTTGACTGAGCGTAAGAGGCGGAAGCGAGAACGCTCAATGGGGTAAGAACCGAAACACGCATCTTGTGAGGAATTAGGAAATGAAAAAAAAAAAAAAACGAGTGACTGGGAGAGAAGGGGGAGGGGAGCAAAGCAAAGAATTGCCTTGCGGAATCGAAGTTGGGGAATTGGACGCCGCAATATATACTGTGGTCGAGATCGCGTTCCTAACCTATTTTTGGCCCTGTAACAGACGTTATATGAAGGCCTTGTATAAGCCTTGTACTCTCTCCCTAATGAATACATGTCGAAAGTATAATTTGGCAAGGGATCTTATCTTACCAGGTCTTAGACCGATCAACTTACGTAGTTTAAGGATTCATTCAGCCTTGAAAAGTATCTTTGAGACAGTATTTAGTCTCTGCAATGGAGTTGACAGGGCTTTAAGCCATTCAGAAACCACCGCTCTACGATTTATAGAGCTGAGCTGGGTCCGACATTTATTCATGGGTGTTCATGGGGAGGCCTTGTATAGGCCCCAACCATCACTTACTAGTACTTGCCTCTGCCCCACTAGACAGGTGGCTAGGTCACGTGCATAAGCCCCTATAGACGAGTGGCTGATTCCCTCTCTGAAACATCATACTTACAAATAAGACTACGAACTAGGAATAGATGTTACCTCTCCTCCCCCCATCCTTGCCTACGATTCTATTATGATTATACATATATATATATATATATATTTATATATATTTATATATCTCTCTCTCTCTTCATTCGCAGTCAGCTATATGCTGGAGCCTTTCCCTCCACAATACTTGTACAGGTCAATGTGCCTAGCGGATTGGTGATACTTGGCTCGAGGAGTCGAGGCCCTTTCCGCTGCAAGAGCCAGCATGACGGCCCAGCGTGTGCCGAGACCAAGGGTTCGCCGCTATCGATTATGTGCAGTATGTACTCTGTACCTACGTAGTACGTAGTACTTGCACTTATCAAAGTCAATCGAGCAGTACGTGATAGGCACCTGAGCTCGAGAGGGCTGCGAGACTCGGGCCGTGGACGTCGGCAATAGCATACGAGGCGATATATTCCTCTCTTTTCTAACTGCCAGAAGACTGCAGTACGGACAAGAAGGCTGTCTTGGGTAAAGGAAATACACCTACAGGTGGATGGATAGACGCACAGGAAGAGAGAATCCGGTAGTTGATGCAGGAGAAAAAGAAAAAGGTGCGAAAAGCTAATTTGATAGCCGAGACCTGTCATACATAGTAGTATGTAGTAGAATAATCAACTGGGCCGGCCTGATCAACTAAGATTAGAGTATGGATATTTTCCGCCGTCCCGATGCAAACCTAGGTAATCACAAACTAACAGACCGTATTTAGTAGTAAGTAGTAGTACTACTTGAGCAGTTTAGAACCTATTTCAACGGGGTCTAAAGATGAGGACAAGGAACGGCGCGGCCCCGAGCCGTTTGCTAGGATAGCGCGCGGAAGCCCAGAGCAGTTTTTGCACCTCAAGGCTTTCACGTATGCACTGTTTAATGAGTAGAGTATCTACTCCGTAGTGAGGTATTATGCGGTGAACTCAAGCCCCTTTCACCTTATCCTACTCCTTTCCTTATTATGGGTAGAAGTTCAGAATCCCTTCTCGAACCAGATAGAAAATCGTAGACAGGATCCCCATTTCAATAGGTATTCGGTATAGAAAAAAGGCAGGCTTCGTTTCCCATCGCCGTCGCTTGAATAGCCAGACCACCCGCTGATCGCTGTTACCAATCAAGCGTAGTGGTTCTCTCCAGAGTATTGTTCAGCTCACGCGCCAATGTACGTAGTAGCTGTTACCAATCAAAATGTATGAAAAGAGCACGCAGATGTAAATGATATGCATTGTCCTTTAGCGTCGATCTGAGTTCAGATAGAGGACTTGGTCCGAACGTTATTCACTCCCTATACAACTCCAAAAGACGTTCCCCCATTCTTGGGCGTTGCACTTTTCTCAACCGCTCCCTTTCCTCTACTCACCGTCCCCCAGGTACTATCTTAGTCCGGGCTTGAGCTTATGCAATCTCCTCAATACCTCTACGAGACTCAAGGCCAGCAATACTAACTTGACAGCTCGATATAAACACTTTTCAAATGTCTTTAGTCAAGAATTTACAGACGCTCTGCAAGTCCCTCCTTTCACAACTTTGAGGTTGGATTCCGAGGCCGAGGCCTTGGCCGGAGTAGCTTACGGAAGCTTGCTCCGTACACATCCAAGGGTTTTTAAGATCAATCCCACAAAAAAAAAAGGGGGCCATCCCAAATCCACATTTCAACGGGGGACTGGAGCCGTTCATTTGTACTACGTACTAGGTACGTATACGGAGTAATTCCCTCACCTACCACATTTCCCGAGGTCCTACCTAGCCCACTTACTTACGCAGCCAGCATACTCTACCCATCTATCCCCACGCAATTTTTTCTTTTTTTTACTTCTTTTTTTTTCCTCCTTTTTCTTCTTCTTTTTCTTTTTTCTAAAACCCAAGGAAAGACATTACTCCGTTCACCGCCTAGAAAAATCGGGGCCAGGCGGCAACTTTTGACTCTACATTAAGGCTGATTGTCGACATGGGGGGACAGCTACCTATCCTGACCGTGCGCTAACCGCACGAGCACCCATCTGCCATCCATGATTTACAACCTCATCCAAGATCTTGACCTTGAACCTCGACAACATACCGTACTACAGTAGTAACAATTTCAGCTTGCGAAGAGATAAGATTCAACCTGGTTTTCGTCTTACAACTACTACCTCGCAGGAGCCCCTTTTCGTTAAAAAGGCTAATTCTCTCACTGGCCCATGGCAAAAAAAGCTGGTTGGTATCCTCTCGGCTTGCAAGTACTCCGTACTCCGCATGATATCGACGACGAGATAAGCGATAGCAAACCAACCTTACATCTCACCAGATTTACGTAGTATGACTGAGTGAGAGAGATATCACGTAATGTACAACCCTCGCAGGACGCACGTTGTGATCATGACCTAGCCTCGGCCTCCACTCTGTTACATACCTACCGGTACTCCGTAGCCAGACCGTTCCCTCCCGGAACACGTACGGAACCAGACAAACCAATCAGTCAATCCATCCATCCATCCCTCTCCGTTGGACCGAACACTTCCTCTTCAGACCCTCTCGACTCCCTCCCTAGATTCACGCTCCGGGTGGTCTACAGCGTAGCAATAGGTACTCCATACCTACCTTACTCAACTCACAGCCTCCTCATAATCCCTCTACTCAACACACCCACAGGAGCGCAGCGCGCCGTATTTCCCACAGCCGAACACCAGTACCTCCTCTCCTCTCCTCTCCTCTCCTCTCCGCAAGCGACGACAAACTCGCAGGTCAAACAAGAGTCAAAAGTCAAAAGCCCAAAGCCAAAGCCCAAAGCCCAAAGCCCAAAGCAGAAACAACTGACAACACGCCCCGCATAACAGCAACCGACCAGCGGTACGTACCTAAGAGTCCACAACAAACTCACCCGATATGCATTGTATAGTATAGAAGAAGCCTACAATCCCATCCCGCCATTCCACATTCCACATTCCAATTCATCAATTTACCAAAATGACAAAGCTGGGATTATACCTACCTAGGTAAACCTGCCCTATCTATGCCTCCCGCCTAGCAACACAAGCAAGATCTCACTATAGCTATAACTATAACTATAACTATACTATACTATATCTATACTATCTGACAAGTGCCAAAACCCCCTTGGAGGAGGGAGGTTCGCTCCACCGTATAGAAAAGCTCCCGTCCAATCCAGACCATTTTATCCAGTCTGCGCCTTGAAAGCGACGGATACCTAGGAAACAACCCATTGGCCATCTTTTTTTTCCTTCCCTTCTTTCTTCCCAAGGTCTTTTGGGGAGGGGAGAGGGGAAGGGCTTTTTTTTTGTTTTTTCTTTTGCTCTTCCGGAGACGAGGGAGGGCTGTATGTATACCTGGGGTGACCAAGAGGTCTGTACGTTGGGCATGGTACGTACACATACACATACACATACACCAAGGATACCGATAATATATACCGATATATATATATATAAGATGAAATAAGATATATAATCTACTTTCTCACCTTGCCCCACCTCACCTCACCTCAGATCATTAAATTTTACAGTCAGCCTGCCGGACTGAATGCGGAAAATGCAATGTGGTGCGGTGTGATGCCAAGTCAATCCCAGGACATATTACCCCACAACATCAAGGTATATACCGGTATATATGCCCATCGCTCAACGAACAAATAGATAAAGAATCCAGTCATCCAACTCGTGCAAACCACCCACCCGACCAGGCCCCTCCCAAGGATTTCATCCCCAGCCAGTATGCCTGCCTACTTCGTCATTATTCCTGGATACTCTGGTCCACGTGACTTTCCTCTTTCTTGCTGAACGCCGAGCTGGCCCAGCCCATCCAGCTCGCCCGCTTCGACGCCTTGTCGTCCTCGCCGCTGACCTTGCGGTTCTCCGGGTGGTCCTGCACCAGGCGCAGCGGCCGCGGCTTATTGCCCGCGAAGGTAGTCGCCTTCTCCGCACGTGGCGGGCTGTTACCGGGCGGCGTGCTCACCTCCCCGCTCTCGCTCGTGCTGCCACCGATGCTGCTGCTGCGCTCGCTCTTCATGCTCGTACCTGGGAAGTTACCTGTTGTCGGCACCTGGCCTGTGTTTGGCATTCGGTGGACGGCGTTAGGGTTGGCCCCTGCGGCTGGGGGCGCGAAGAAGGATTGCGAGTGGCGAGGGGTCTGTGGCCCGTGGAGGGGAGGTGAAGCAGCCCCCCCTCGGTACATCTGGTTGACAACGTTGGCGGCACCGGCGGTAAACTGCTCGCTCTTCGGGCGGCCACTACGGTAGCTAGCAGAGCGGCCAAAGGGAATGCTGGGCGCCGTGTCCGGATCCGTGAGCGCAGATGATGGAGGTTGCATTACAGATTGCGGCCTTGGGCGGCGGGATCCCCCCATGGCGACGGACTTTGCGCGTTGCAGGATGGATTCACCACTTGCCTGTTCCTTCGGTGGGGGCGGAGGAGGAAGGTCTTTTCCATTGTTTGAGCTCCCTGCTGCTCCTGGCTTGAAGTCGGAGGATTGGTCAAGAATGGCTTCGAAGTCTTGGTGTTGGAGCAGGCGCTCGATGATCTTGTTAATGTAGAGGGTCAGGGCTTTGTTGGAGTCCTTTGCGGACTTCAATTCGGATTCCAGGCGTCTGTAGCTGTCGCTTTCGTCTTCACCGGCAGAAGAGAGCTCGTCTGCAAGGCTTGCGGGTGCAGCTCTGCCTTCTAAGGCGCTGAGCGCATCTACGTTGTGGGATGCGGATCCCATGAACTCGCTCTTGGCGAAGTCCCCAGTCAATGTCTTCTCGGAGAGGAGAAGTTGGTAGCTCTCGTTGTCCTCCATCAACCGAGCATTGGTCATGCGTGCTTCGAGCAGTAGTCGCTCGACCTCTTGCATGCGTCCACCGCCCATGTTCTCGGATTCCATCATCTTGATCTGTGCCTCTGCCAATTCTAGTCGGAGGGATTCTATTAAGCGGTCTTTTTGTAGCAGTAGCTTAGAGTTGTTCCGCGAATCGCTGCGATTCAGACCGGAGGTAGGAGCGAACTGGCTATCAATAGGTGAAGAGTTGTTTGCTGTTATAGTCAGAAAGAAGTCTTGCATATATAGATCGCGATACTTACAGCGTCTGGAGATTCTGCCCTCCTCATCCACACTCGACCTCGCATTCAGTGAATCTTTCAGCCGCTGGATAATCGTCTGCATCTCCTCCTCCCGGTTCGCCGACTCTTCCCTCTCCTTGGTCATCGCACTCCTCTCCGCCTCGTATATCGACTCCATCTCGCGTTTCTGCCTCAGAGCGTCTCTCTTCTCATTTTCCAATAGCTCCAGCCGTTCCTCGTTCTCATGCAATTTATCCTCCAACTTGCCCTGCTCCTGCAACGCCTCGTCCAACCTCGACTGCAGCACCTGGGTCTGCTTCTGAAATTGTTCAGACGCTGATTCCGTCTTACGCAGCTGCTCCTTCAAGTCGTCCAGTACAGCGGCCGTCTCTGCCCGGGCGTCATCGTCGACATCGGAAGCCAAATTGCTCGAGCTCAGGTTCGACGCGCCGGCACCAGGGCGCTGCATCGCTGCTCGAGCCGACATGGGGGGACCGGTGCGAACTGACCGACTGCGCGCAACTCCATTCGCAGTTGCGGATGCCGGGACTGGCGAGCGGGTGGGAGCCCTTGATGGTGCAGATGCGGTGCTCGTGACGGCCGGATCGGTGGAGGGTCGGCGGCCGGAAGCTGGACCTGAGGGCGGTTTCTTGGTTGCGGCAGACATCATTATTTTATCTATAGAGAGGGGATGGATTTGAGGATGAGGATGGGGATGAGGATGAGGATAAGGATGAGGGTGAGGATGAGGGTGAGGATGAGGATGAGATTGGGGAGGATATAAGGGAGAAGGATGGAAGAGGTTCGAGGCGTGGCTTATTGTTGTCCTTGTTCTGGTCCTGTCCTTGTCCGTGGCCCGAGTGTCTGGGCAACGGGATGAAAAGTAAGAATAGATTTCAGATGAAGTATCACTCGAGAGTCAGGTAAATAAAGTAAGGCTTTGGCAGATGTTCGTTCATGATAGCGATATGAATAATGTGTCCTTTCCCTTCCAGCTCTTGCTGATTTCTTTCTGGCTTGTGCGATCCCAGTTGCATAATCCCTTACAGGTACAAATCGAAGCGTAAACCGGTAAAAAAAAAAAAAAAATCATATCTAGGCCTAACGGGGCATAAGAGATTGAAACGAGGTTTCCAGGCTATTCCCAGTCGCTCTATCGAGGCGCGGTTGTACGGAGTAACATAAGCTCTGCCTATTAGTACTGTAGTACGTATAGTACCAATTGATGTCTAAGGCGTTATTGACAATGGATCATCCAAGTGCAAAATCTGTATCACAGATCTATATGCAGGCCCTTGCTTACTTAAAGGGCGGGCCAGTTTTATATATCTATGGCTAACGGTAGGAACTCAATTGCAGGTTCGAAGATGTGATCGAACCAAAGTTCCGCTGAGTGTATACCTTGGTAAGAAGGTAGTATGACTGACGGGTGTCTGATATGAAGCTATCTGGGCTGTCAAGTCCCACTGACATGCATCAAAGAGGATGGATGATCTTGGGATGGGAGACCCGCCGTGGTCATTGCAATCAACTTCCAAGCGGGAAGAGGGCAATCGATAAAATGAAGGCAGTTGTGAGAAAATTAAATCTGAGACGGAAGCTGATTCAAATAAGCTGATTTAAAAGTATCTCCAGAGCTACATACCACATCGGGTCTGATGTACAAAGCACGTGACATCAACCAAGGTCAGTCGGTTAGCCGAGCACACACAAGTCAAGGTCCAAATTTCCGTGCGCGAAGTTTTCTCGGAATCCACAACCAACGCCGGAGCATCAACACATTTCAAGACCCAACCCCTCACCCAAATCTTGAATCAACGCAACGATGGCACCTAACAAGAAGGCAAAGAAGGCCGCCGATGGCATCAACTCGCGTTTGGCGCTGGTCATGAAATCGGGAAAGGTCACTCTCGGATACAAGTCGACCCTCAAGACCCTCCGCTCGGGCAAGGCAAAGCTGGTTATCATTGCCGGTAACACTCCTCCTCTGCGCAAGAGTGAGCTCGAGTAGTAAGTCTCCCCACGAAGCAATTGGATAGTACTTCTGCTAACCTCGTCCTAGCTACGCCATGTTGTCAAAGACCAACGTCCACCACTTCAGCGGAAACAACGTACGTACCCTCACCCACACCCACACCACAAAATTTCTATGTCATTTCAGGCCGACGTCCTGGTCCTCAACGACCAGACCCGACTCCCGGGTCTGCGAGAGATCTGCCTAACGATAAAGTCTTGCAGACTTTGGAGGGCGCATTTGCTTACTATTCTTTGCTCTTCAGATTGAGCTCGGTACTGCCTGTGGTAAGCTCTACCGATGCTCGACCATGGCTATCTTGGATGGAGGAGATTCCGACATCCTGAGCTCGCAAGCTGAGTAGATGGCGCGACGGGATGGAGTGGTGGAGTTTAGAATGATGGACTGGACACGATCAATGTACGCTCTGCGGAGATTCAGTTCTAGCAATAGCGAATGATACCGGCGCCCGGCCTCTGGACCAGAACATGGGATATGGAGTGATAGGCATCGTGACTGTCTCGGACTTTGAAATTCTGGGATGTTTCGAATGCATGCGCCAGACCCATGGGCGGAACGTAAGACACAAGTCAGAAATTGTTTGCGCAATGCAGACAATAGAGGTCCGCAATTGATTCGTAGAAAGATAATCCTGATTTTCCCCAAATCCTAAGCTACCATAAATTGAATTCCATCCAAACCTCAAAACCAAACTGTGCTTCGGACTCCAATTTCGGCGATAAGCATGCACTTTTCGCCCCTCCATATTGGAAAATCGTAGTCTGTGGGCGGAGATAGGGTTGCTAATAGTGTAAGCGAGATCTTAGCGCGGGTCTGCTGAGAAATCAAAGGGTTGACCATTGCCTCAAATACCTACAACCCCGACAACTCACCCTCCAGAACCCATCCTTTAAAGACAGCCACCTCGAAATCATTCAAGATGGCCCGCCGACCTGCGAGATGTTACCGCTACTGCAAGAACAAGGTGCGTACGATATGTGAGACGAGAAGGAGACCAGAGGAGAGGCTGTGATGTGTGCGCTGGTGGCGTGAAAGGGATGAGCGCAATCTCATTGTGGGAGCGGGAGCATATCGAAGGCCGCAAAAACTGACTGCGAGGATAGCCATACCCCAAGTCCCGATTCAACCGTGGTGTGCCAGACCCTAAGATTCGGTATGTTCGCGCTTTTCTGTCGCGGAAGACACCGGGAAACTGACCCGAGTAGAATCTTCGATTTGGGCCGCAAGAAGGCCAACGTCGACGAGTTCCCTCTCTGCATCCACCTGGTCTCCAACGAATACGAACAACTCAGCTCTGAGGCGCTCGAAGCTGCCCGTATTTGCGCCAACAAGTCAGTATACCCCAGTGAAGGATTCCAGTGAAGGAAGATGTTGGGTCAGCTTCTCATTAGAGACGATATTTTACAAGCCTATGGTTTTTTTGTTAGATAGACTACGCCTCAGAACATACAGAAAGAATGCGGGAAAGTAGCAGGCTAACATTCTGGATCAGGTACATGACCAAGACTGCAGGAAAGGAAGCATTCCATCTCCGTGTCCGCGCCCACCCTTACCACGTCGTCCGTATCAACAAGATGTTGTCTTGCGCCGGTGCCGATAGACTCCAAACTGGTATGCGTGGTGCCTGGGGCAAGCCTAATGGAACCGTCGCCCGTGTCAACATTGGTCAAATCATCTTGAGCATCCGCACTCGTGATTCTTGTAAGCCTTATCCCTGTTCGAATTTTGAAAATTAGCCCTAACCAGAGAATCACCAGTCCGTCCAAACGCCCTCGAGGCCCTCCGTCGTTCGCAGTACAAGTTCCCCGGTCGCCAAAAGATCATTGTGTCCAAGAACTGGGGCTTCACTCCTCTCCGCCGTGAAGAGTACATGGAGAAGAAGGCCGGTGGACGTGTCATGGTTGATGGTGCTTACGTGCAGTTCCTGAGTAACCACGGAAATCTGGCCGAGAACATGCGACGCTTCCCGGCTGCTTTCCAGGAGGCATGAACGGAAGGTTGAGGATGACTGGCTCGGACGGAGTAAGCGTGGAAAGGAACGCAGAGGCGTATCCTCGCAATGGGATTGTCTCTTGACCTCTGGTCTATTGAGCCATTGTACCTAAGGAATTGCTGATGATCTTTCTACACTTTACGCCAATTTTGGGTTCGATTCTTTGGACATGATGTGAGATGATACCGGTACTATGATACCCGGCACTAGCATTCGATGGAATTTGCACGTGGACCCCACGCCTAGCAATTGATGGGAATGGTAGTGAATGTATGAGTGGCAAGTGCTACTCGGCTTTGCCTCTCCAACCTCTTACATCCAATCCAATCATGCCTAGTCCATCCGTCCTTTTCGAACAAGTGTCTCCTCGATTACATCCCATTCGAGTCTCCTCCCTCTCTTCCTCCCAACTCGTCCCCAACTTACCCCCACTCCCGTCCCACCTTCACTCGCCCTTCTTCAGCTGCCCAAACCCGAGAGAGAGAAAAGACTGGCAAGATCGAGGGTATCTAGGTAGGTAGGTAGGTAGGTAGGTAGCAATAGGTAAGTAAGTACTTCAGCCAACCTACTCGAAAGATAATGAGAAAAAAAGCTGAGACGGGTGACAAAGAGAGTTGTGTTTTTGGATACTGGTTGCCATGGGCTCTTTCGAGGTAGGTGGCTGATGGAGCCAGGGCTGCGGTTGCGGTTGTTGGTGGCACGCGGTGAGGAGAGGATAGTAAGTAAGGGGTGACTGACTGCTTGGAGATTTATTGCTGATTTCTTGTTGCTGCTGCTTGGGTGAATGGATGGATGGATGGATGGATGATGTTGGTGGAGGTTGATGTTATGTTGTATTTGGAGGTGGTATCGGGATCGTGGTCTAGGATACAACTGATTTTCTCTTTTGCAGAATCAACTTCTTCTGAATGAATGAACTCTTTGGTTGTATCGCTATACCTATGCAGTAGAGAAGGGAGGGGGTGGAGAGGGGAATTTTCTCTGAAGATTCGATAATGATAGTGTTTCCCTCTTCCATGATGAGCGCTCAAGGTCTGCTTCTCGAGATTGGCGGTGGACGGTGGAGCCGCCGGCGGTCGATGGGAGCCTCCTCGCTGGCAAATGTTGAATAAAAGGCTTTACTGTTGGCGTTACTGCTGGAAAGCAATTTTCTTTTAGGAACTTCGGGCTATCTATTAGCTTTGATGGTTGATGTTATATTGCCGCCTGCATTCAGGGTTAGTAAAGTAGCAGAACCCAACCCGCTGACACTTACCTCTCGTCTCTTGACCGAGGACACGTCCATTGACCGTGGACATTTAGGGTATTGGCATTACCAATATAGTTATCGACAATGAGCTCTTTTGTGTAGGTTGCTCTTGCGGCACCAGCCAGCCCGAGAGACGTTGAGGATAGGAAAGAAATGCATCATGAACTGATACCCGTATGTACCGAGCATGTTACTGACAACGAAACGGAGGTAGGTCACGAATAAATCTGTCGTAAAAAATCAGTATATCAGTTAGTAAAGCAGTGAATACTATCAGAGTGGCATGATCAGCATCAGACGAAGAGAGAGATGGAGGTCCAGATTTCTTGACAGGCTAAACGCTTGATAGCGTACTGAGATATCATGATCTTCTAGGACGTCTTTCTCGGGATGAAATTCGGGTCTTGAGTCCGATATCTTTTCAGTCTCCAACTAGACTTCGTGTCACGGCTCTGCCCTAGGATTGCGATAACTGATCGCTCGAATAATCATAGACGGGGAGAAAGGAGTCGTGATGATGGTTTTTCACTCGTTGAGTCTCAGCTAGAGAAAGCAAGTTCGGTCCAGTCCAATCGATAGGCGTTATATCATTTTATGCTTGACTTGAATTTCGAAAGGCAAATCGTCGCTCTGCACTTGAAAACTGCGTTTTTTTTTTTTCCTTCTTCCGAATGCTATACTTGGTGTTTTTAAATTTCCAATTGCAGAAAACAGAAGTTGGTGTCGACGTTTCGGCCTCGAAATTCAACCCTCCTTTACAACGTTTGACATAGCTCGGCGCTAGAAAGGACGTCGCGAGGCTTAGATGTTTCGTTCAATTATATCTATTGCATTTATCTCGCCGCGGTAGTCAAACAGGAGCGTTTGTGGAGGGTGCTCGAGGAACGATACTGGCCATCTATCTATTTTGACCCGTGACCAGGGCTCGTCATGATTGGGTCATGTCCCACTTTCCGTCCACGCTAAGCGTTGTTACCCGAAGCCCTAGTCGCACAAATTTTGATTTCCATCATAAAGCCAACGTCAGGCGCCCTTAATATCAATTCAATCAGCAATGATTCAGGTGCATTGGTCTAGCGGTATGATTCTCGCTTAGGGTTCACTCTAAACATGCATGCGAGAGGTCCCCGGTTCAATCCCGGGATGCGCCCATACATACATGAAATCATGACTTTGTCTTTTTCACATTTTTTTTTAACTCTTCTTTTCAGAAATTCGTCTTACGTAGCCTTCCGTGAACCGTTTTTCAGGACCATTCTTATGGATTCAGGACGAATCCAACTACTAATATGGGAGAACTTCTTTCTACAATCAACATGGACTTCTACTCACGATTGCAGGCTTCACCGTGAGCTACGATGTTCTCCAAGAATACTACGGGAGCAACTAGGTTTTTCAATGGAAGTAAAAGATGTTACTGGTATCATCGGCACGACGTCTAAAGGTGTGTCGTGTACCTTTGAATGCCATTTCTCTTCGCCCACTTGGCTCTGATTCATGAATAATGTACTGCCAGTGGTGGGTGGTATCGACTGTAGCTGTATCGAGGTGCAGAACTACCTGCCTAACCCAATCTTCCCTCCTGGCGCTCAGCCTCCTTGCGTAGCGAGCCCAGATATGGATAAGCAGGTGCACGAAACTTGATAACTTCGAACTCCTACAGTCACACGTTGCTGGTTGAGAGAGAGAATGCTTGAGAGGAGTCTTATCGTCGGAGTTCTGGAGGAGAAGCACGGATATGATCTTGGATTTGAACGAGGTCGGTTATAGAAAAGGGGTTTGTTTACCTTTCGTCTTGTACAAGTCTAGGGAATGAGTGTTCGCGAGCTCTGAAGGCCATATCTAAACGCCTGAAGCTAGCCAAGCTCTTGAAGCTCTGATATTGTTAGTAGCGTAGTAGCGTGATAGAAATTGGGCACGTTGATCTCAATATCGCATGCACTACTTTTCCTGATGAGTGGAGCCTTCGCAAAAAATCACTAGGGCGCATTTCAAACCCGTCACTTTTCACTTGAACCTACTCATCGGACCGCGCCCTCAGTCAAGTCTCTCCCAGCCTCCCCACGCAGGGCCATCCCACCAGTTGTGCCAAACAGCGTCGTCGGTTCTCAGGGCAAAGATGTCATGCCTGTTCGCGCCCCAGCTCACAGCAGTCGGGGCCGAAACCAACACGCCCCCTAAATTCTCCCAGCTCGCAGACCAACTTCCATTGGCATAGTATCGGTGATACATCGCACCGTCGATACCAATGCCACTGTGAGTTCAATGCCGTTGTTTAGCTTTCCGAGAACAAAACGGTGTGGGCATTCTCCTTGATGGGAAAGAGAACAGACAGGTAAGGAGGGTGTGAAAGTGGATCTCACAAGAGATCATATCTGCCTCGACCCCAGCTTACAATGCTCGGCTCCGAAATGAAGTTTCCGCCCAGGCTCTGCCACTCAGTCCAGGAACCGCTCCACTGATTGATCCACGAGGCACTGTCGGTTCCTCGTCCGACCACAGCGAGGTCGCGAGGGCCCGATGATTTGGCTGCTAAAGGCGTGGTAAAGACTTTACCAAGATTTCTTAATCGTCGCTTTATCGTATATCAACTTAGAACTTGCGATAAAAGGACGAGTCGGTGCGAAGACCGAATAGATCGAGACGTTCTGGTTCCCAGGAGACTGATTTGACGGGGGAAGTGAAGATGCCGCCGAGAGGTTCATACGCGCTGCACTGTGATGAGGAAGTAGAAATGTCTGTACAGCTTTGAGCTAGCAATTGGGGCTCAAGCGCGAGGGAAGATAGCGTGAGGGAAGAAGATACCCTTGATCCCTCCCAGGACTTGTGGAATGCAGCATTTTTAGTACCGAGGCCGAAGAAATCGAGGCGGTTATGGTCCCAGCTGCAGACGTCCACTGGAGACTCGAAGATGCCGCCTTGCGATTCCCAGCCACTCCAAGCGCCGCCATTCCACCCTAGATGTGATGTGACCGACGATCTCGGCGCTTGTGATTAGCAGCGAGGAGGGTGAGGTCCAGCGTACATTTATGCCATGCTGCACTGTCGGTACCCAAAGCAAACACATCGAGGTGATTCGAGCCCCATGCTGCAACAGTTGGAACGCTTGTAGAAGCGCCTCCCAGTGACTCGAAGCCTCCCCACTACATTCAACGTCAGCCAACACCGCTCTGCTCATTGTGGTACAGTGGGTAGCAAGTAAACACATCTGATTTCCGTCCCAGTAGTTATGCTGGAGATCAGAAGCCCGATCGCCAGTCCTGAAGATGTCGAGACGGCTCCTGCTCCCGGAAGCAGCTGCGACTGTAACCTTGAGGAAGTTACCCCGCGCCCGCGACGAGATTTCGAATTCACCCTTTGATATGGCCTTGCGGTTTCTGATTCCCAGATCTTACGGACTGTGATCAGTGAATCTGTATCTATTCTTGGAAAGGGGGTGGGTCATGTAGGATCTTGAATTAGAGACCTCCCACTGGAACTAGTCGGGCCACTCGTTATGCTTCCAATGCTTTTTGAGTGAGCATGAGGTGATCGGTGGCATGACTGATATCGTAATACTCCTGAGATATTCTACGATGTAGCTATCCATAAGTACTACAGTACCTTGCGTCGTTGTTCTCCTGTCTGAAATCGGCCAGTTCTTCAGCCTAGCCAAGTGAAAATCTGGTGTGACGAAACGACCCGTTATTATTATTGTTTTTGTCGTATTTATTAACGTCTAGCGGATTATAAGCGTAGCATGCGCTCCCCGTGCTAAGACCTTTTATAGGGTACGGAGACGTGCAAAGCTGAAAGTTGATTATAAGAAAGCTGGGCGGAGCTTCCTTTCAACAAGTCCGATCAACAGTATGGAGCTTCTTCTTCGATCAAATCGAGCAAAAATTTACTCGTTTGAGCTTTAGCGTATATATAGATCCGAAAATCCTAAAAAAAAATTTCCGACGAACTCTTTTCGTTTTAATTTCTTTTCTTGCGCTTTATCGTCGTCGAGATCGCGAGACAAAACGTTACTTGTTTTATCACGCTCGCGGATCTAAAGCCTTTTTAAAGCGTCTTGGCTACGTATTTCATTCTTCTTCGTAGTATCGTATCGATCCGAGTATATATATATATATATATATACATAATAATCGTTTAAAAAACCCAGCTGGCAAAAGAAGGGCGCGAAAATAACGTATAAAGCAGATTGCTATAAGCTAATCGAATAAAGTAGTTGAAAGTATCGAGAGAGAAAAAAGTGAGAAAGCGCAGGTCGTAAACTATGAAAAGATCTTCGGTTTATATATTCGGAAGCGAATAAGTAGGTCGTAATGAATCTTCCGTTAGTTATTTTATATAATTTGCAAGATTAAAAGACGTTTATAAGCTTGCACCGGCGTCAAAGTGGAAGTTCGATTCTGCAGGCCTACGAAACGATCCGTCGGGAAGCAACACACCACCAGCATCCCTTTTTCGGGCGCACAAGCTTTGTATTCTCTTGAATTCATGCGAGGCTGCTAAAATCCTATGTCCTGAGTTTTCTCAGCTTGATCTTTCAGAGGTCGACGAGAGATGGCTGTAAAACTGGTCGTGGAGTCGCGCCAAGAGCTAAGCGAGCTGAGAAGCACATATCCTGGGCCACCTCATCGTCGTCCCATTCTATGGGATTGATTCATGTTGCGGAAATAAAGCGGTTATGTGAGACTGGGTTTCGTGGATCAGATGTTGGTTTTCCGCTGGGTCGGTGTAGGGTGAATGTACGGATGGTAACATCTTCGGAGAGATGTAGATTGCAATGTGTTAGAGGCCCTGATTAGTTCTTCTTCGGTGTCGATGATTTGGATAGCACGATGACGCATTTTGGAATCTTTTACCGTAGAACTTGTAGGAATCATGGTTCCAGGGTAGAGGATGACTGTTTGGGCTCGTATAGATGCTCGCTCGTGGGTGTATATCTCTCCAGAATATTTTCTGTCCTCGGGCTTTGTAATAATACACATGCTCGGGTGGCTGTGCTAAATAATATAATAAATGGAACCGTCGCATTGCTGCAGTAATATGATCAAATAATATTGAAGATGTTTTATAAATACAACTATAAATTAAATCGAAGTTATTTGACTCAATTTCGATTGCGGTGATAAATAGCACGGCTGAAAGACGATATCTCTCAGATGCGTTTTGCCTAAGCCTCGACTGAAGAGATGAAAATAAAGATACGTACACCCAGAAATCATAGCGGCAAGATCTTTACAAAGCGATCAGCTTGTCATACTTATGGTGCAGCAGTAATGCAGTATCGACGAGGACCGTCTCAACATTTGCATCCGAGATATAATTTTGCCCATGGGCTATCTGGCAGCATTGATTTGAGATTTATGATCAAATTATGACTCTGATGTCTGAAAGACAAGCGGGAATAGATATCATTAAAAGGCGGCCAGGACCATGTTACCTTCAAGTTGCGACGAGCCTTCAAGCCACTTTCGCTCGTAAACTTCGTCTTCTGGAAAGAGAGTTCGTGAGCACCTGTGGCTTGCATTGTACTGGGTCAGCACTTGAGAATGTATATCTGATTAATGCGAATAGTCGGCGAGAATTACTTTTCCGGAATTGAAGGCTGCTGATATGGCGAAGTGAAGAAGGGATTCGCCAGCTAAATAAGCGAGTTACATGCGCTGGGGTGGCAAAGGACACCCAGCCCCGTCGGCCTCCTACATTAACCTCAGCGCCAGGCCTTCATAACAATGGATATGAGAGTTATACTACATTCCCTTGGGGTCATCCTCGTGCTCGCTTCTCACTCGGGCTATACCGCTGAACTCTCGTCTCCAATTCTTTCCCCCTTCTGAGTACATTCAGCGCGATGGAGCGGCCTGTTTCAGAATCACCGGCTGTGGGCGAGGCTCATCAGACTGAAGATCTGGTTGGCAGTGGCTGCGAAGTTCATGTTCATGTTCTCGAGTGGCGACTCCATCTTGCCAAGACTTTCTTCGATCAACCTTTCCTCCTCTCTCATGCCACTCCGTAATCAAAGCCGGTCGACCAGCTTTAGATCACCCGCATCTGCACACTGGATCTGCAGACCCATGTTATCGCAATCCAATTAATTCGTATATAGGCCACCACACCAAGAGCCTAGACGAGCATTGGCCAGTACCCGAGATGCTTGTTCAATGCTTATCTCGTCTCGGGAGGTGCTTAAATACCTCCGAGAATGCTTGTCTCGGTGAAGAGGTGTTCAATCCTGTACCACTCCCAACGTTATTTACGGCGCTGTTCCCAAACCAGAAGGTGCCGATACCATCCTATACTCAAAAGCCGGATAGCAAAGCTTGACCGGCACATGTGTCACTCGCTTGATTGAGCCGGAGTAAATACACCAGGGCTCATCAGGCTGCCAAGTGATAAGAGCTACGCGCCCGGATGTACGTGCCTTCTCTTTTGGTTTGCCTCCGTCGATCAAATCATGGCCCGGCTTTGACGGCTTCCTCTTCAAGTTCGAATATGCCCCTTGAGGCCTTGAGGGGAGTCTGGAGTGAAGTCCTGAGATAGAGGCATGAGCAGCTGTCCACTCTTGAGCCAAGGCGGCGAGGCCAACAAACCAATTGAGGGAGTGGATGTTTGCTCGCAGCCCCCTCCATAGTCGGGAGTAGAGTACCACAGCATGTTTATATAAACCCATGTGCATTCCCTCCTCCAGAGAAGCAACCATCCTCTCACAACCCCCGGTCCTTCCTTAAGCTCCTCATCCAGCCCCTCGCACTCCGTTCCCAGCAAGTCCTCAAAATGGCTTCAAGATTCCTCGCTGTCCTCGCTCTTGCGATCTTCCCTACTCTGTCCATCGCAGCCGCGATTCCAGAGGCGATCGCGCCCGCCATCGTTCCGGGTGCTGACAGTATGTTCATCCTCGAAACCCAGTCTCCTGTTCGAAACCGGGAACTGATGCCTCCATAGTTGTGGGAGGCTCTGCCGCCGTTGCTGGCCAGTTTCCTTCCCAAGTCGCCCTGCTCGTCGGCAGTTCTCTGTTCTGCGGCGGTGTCTTGATCAACTCCCGAACGGTTTTGACTGCTGCCCACTGCTCCGTCGACTATGCTGCATCTGCTGTCACCGTCCGAGCCGGTTCGCTCGTCAGTCGCTCCCCTTGCCCGACCACCCTCTTCTAATCCCATCTTCACGTGGCGCACCATTGTGAGCGACGCGAGTACTGATGTACGAACAGCGATACGCATCAGGCGGAACTCTCGTTAGGGTCTCCAGGATCCTCGTCCAGTAAGTGATGAGACGATCCCTTTCTCCACCTTCGGCACCCCTTGGGCCCAGAAGCCACCTGCTGACTCTCCGCGTCACTCTCTAGCCCCAGCTACAACGAAAACACCTTCGACAACGACGTCGCCCTTTGGACTCTCACAACCGCTATTCCCAGCAGCAGCACTATCGGGGTATGTACCCACTCACGTCCTCTTCTCCCACGATCCGAGAATCAAAGCTGCCGATACCATTTCTCTGGAGCCTCTCCATATCTCCAGCCGCGCCCCGCATCTCAACCCTCTGCAGAATACAGGGACTAACCATCTCGATCCAGTACGCCACCCTCCCCGCTCCGGGCTCCGACCCCGCCGCCGGCGTGAGCACCACCGTCTCGGGCTGGGGCCTGACATCCGAGTCGGGATCGACGCTCCCGGCCTCGCTCCGCTACGTGGCCGTGCCGGTCGTGTCCCGCGCCAGCTGCCGCAGCGCGTACGGCACCTCGGCCGTCACCACCAACATGTTCTGCGCGGCCGCCTCCGGCAAGGACTCCTGCTCCGGTGACTCCGGCGGACCCATCGTCGTCACCAGCACCGGCGTCTTGGCCGGGACGGTCAGCTGGGGCCAGGGATGTGCCGAGCCCGGGTACGCGGGCGTCTACTCCCGAATCGGCAACTACGTGACCTGGATCAACGCCAACAAGGCGTAGATGGGCGACTGCTGGGGCTCACGGGTTGGGGTTGAGGGGCGGTGGGGGATTGGCGGGAGGCAGAAGGCATGCCGCTCGCTCGCTCGCTGGCTTGTTTGTTTGTTTGTTTGGAGGAGAGATGCCAGCGGGTTTTGTGTGCTGCCTGTAACTCACGCAGACTCGGATCAGATACTTGCAGCTCCGGATATGCTAAGGCTGTGTGGATGTTCGCTTCAGAGGGCTCGCTCTTGGGAGACTGAACAGGTCTTCTTCCAGGCCCGAGGTAGAACCACTTACATGGATCTCCCGACCCAAGCATCCATCTCCTTGAATCTGCCTCATATCCCCTCAAGCGTGATTCGCTTCGAAAGGCTCCAGATTTGAGGAAAGTACGGTAGACTGGCCTCCACCGCCAACACCCCAGCTCTCTCTTCTCCTTCCTTTTCCTCATCCTCTTCTATTCGCGTCTTCTACCAGCTCTTCCTTTCTCTGCACTCATCAATCAATCTCCATCAATCAATCTCCATCAACCAATCTCAATCCTAACCACGAATTTCCAAATCCCATCCTCGCTCACTCAATCCTACCTGCCCGCCTGCCTGCAGAGAAACATCTCCACCCCTCCATCTCCGCTCCCATCTCCACACCGCCCACCAAACACTCGGTACCACACACATCCATCCCAGCGGCCCAGCTCAATCCGTTCGTAGTAGAAACACCAACCCAAGAATCCCAGAGCCGGCGCTGCGCTTTGATTCTTTGCCGCTGTGACGTTTTCCCCTCACCCTCCCATTTTTTACCCTTTTCCACCCCGTGTGTTTCTCAGTTCGGTAACAGCACCAGCATCAACATCAATATCAGCACCAGCACCAGCACCAAGCCCAACAAGCCCCTCGCAGCCGACCCGAAGCATCACCACCACCCCCACCGTCGCCACCGATACAGCAACGACCCAGACAAGCCTGATATTGAAACCGCATCGGGTGAAAAAAGGGTGCAGGTGACTAACTGACCTAAACATGCAATCCCCACGTTCCTTCTGCATCTCCACCCCCGAATGAGAAAGCAGAGGCGCTCGATCGGTATGATCGTCTTGATCTATGATCCTCATGTCATTGATATGCACTGATTGAGTAGCTCTTTTATCTATCTATCTATCTATCTACGATTATACGTAGATGCGGAATCGATAGCAGGGAAGGGGAAAGAGAATGAGAATGCGAGAGAGATAGATATATATATATAGATATATATATATATCTATGACTATTAATGATCATCTCATTCACACCTCATCCTCCTCTCGTATCACCTATCTCCGTCCACGAACCCGGGCTGCCAGAGCCCCAGAGCCTACAATTCTGCCCTTACCCGATCATAAGTACAGTACCGGTAGCATGCTAGGGATTACAAATACCAAAGACGGAAAAAAAACCCGGGACGACGGGATGGGAGTGAGGGAGGAGGAGAAAGGGAAGGAAAGAAAGGGAGTAGAATGAGAAGAAAGGGAAGCACCACAAGAGAGATAACCACCGCTTGCCTTATTGGCACACGGTCGGAAGGTCGGAAGGGGAAGGAGGAGAGGGATAGGAGGGGGGGGATGGGGATAAGGATAAGGATGAGGACAAGGATGGATGGATAAGGATGGATGGATAAGGAATGGATGGAGTGGCGGTGGCGCAGTCGGTAAGCGAGCAGGTAGGTTAGGTAGGGAGGTAGGTACCCACCCACTTAAGCTGGCGCGACCCGCTTTTGCGGTAATGCTTTGCTTATCGGTGGTGCATATGCATACAGTACGGAGCATGCATGCGTGCATATGCATATGCATATGCATATGCATAGGTAGTAGTACTAGTTCGTACGGAAGTTAGTGATTCGGTTAACTAACTTGGCTACTTGGGTTTAGGTGGTGAGTTGTCTACAAGTACTACGTAGCTGTCTGGTTAGGTAGGTAGTATGTATATTTGTATGTATGTATGTATGTATGTATGTATGTATGTATGATGTATGTATCTTAAATAAACCCCTTAATTAACTAAGTACTTCGTAAGTAAACACCACTACTAGGTTCGTACCGAGCGCGGATGGATGACTACCGGTATAGAGAGGAGGTACGTATCATATAATAATACTACTATACCTACCTATGCACATGTACCTACACCTGTATCATCAGATAAGATCATCAGATAAATACCTTAAGCACGGCGATAGATAGATTGCTCGATACGTACCTAGATACCTACTGTTACGTACCTCCTCGCGCGACCCGCAAGCACATCGCTCTGTCCCGACGTCGAAAAAACCATCCCCAGCTCAACCAACGCCAGAGATTCTCTATATCTACGAAGCGTGGCCAACGACCTACCGGTACCTACCTACCGTAGTACCGGTGCAGACAGAGCGTCCGTTGCCATCTCCTCTCCCTAGTTTCTTCAAACGATCCACGCGCGGGAACGGATACCGGTACCGGTATGCTGGCCGCACCAGTAGGTGGGTATCTAACGTACGTAGTACGTAGGTAGTAGTAGTACAACGGTACCTACCGTATCTTGCATCTTCCGTGATGGAGACCTACTACGTAGTACCTACCTCCCTCCTCGCCGCACCTATCCCTTTCTAGCCTGGCGGGCCGGCGCGAAGGAAGGGGAAGAAAAAGGAAGGATCAATTGAGTTTCCCCGTTGACTACGTAGGACTACGTACTACGTACTACTAGTACTACTATTTACCCTTTCGATTAAATTAGACCGAGGATCGACCGATCCGCTCGAGGCGCGCGCGTGGATGGGTCCTTTTGAGTTTTTTTTTTTTTTTTTTTTTTCTTTTTCAGATCGCCTTACTAGTAGTACTTTGGGGCGATTTTTTTTCTTTTCGTCATTCCTACTTTCTCGAGAGAAAGACGGGAAAAGCTAAAGGAGACGTCGGGATACTGGTAGGTACCGTACCGTACTGTAGATGTCGAGATGATGGTCGTTATCGTTAGCGTTCTCGTTCTTATTAGCTGTCGCTATCATTATTATCATTATTATCATCGTTATCGCTATCATTCGTTAGAGATACAAAAAAATCTCGACCGAGCGTGAGCGAACTTGCCACTTTCGCTCCCGCGTGGAACCACGAGCATGCACACGACGTCGATAACTAACGTGACCTTCAGAGCAGTTGGAAATAAGGTAGGGAAAAAAAAAAAAAAAATTTAAACCCTCCCCAACGTAGAGTTTCAAACGTAATAATATACTTCTACTCTGCGTAACGCCACGGCGATCCCCATCCCCTATCCACCCATCCACCCATCCCCACAAAAACCCAAGAAACCGGTTCCGCACGCATAAAATACTACCGGTACGTAGTACCTACTACGTACCTCCTACGTACCTACTACGTACCTCCTACGTACCAAAACAGCCGTGAAACGGTCCGCTAAGGAGTACGTCGCAAAAAAAAGAGAAGAAGAAGAAGAAGAAGAGAAAGCCTCGGATCCAGGACGGCTGTCGAGCACACCCTCATCCACACCCACACCCACCACACACACACACACCCTCCCTCTCCTGTGGTCACCCTTCCCTCTCTTTCTTTCTTTCTACCGGTACTTACTTACTACGTACTACGTACTTCTCCAAAGCCCTCCTCCCTTCCTCC